AGTAATATTAATATATAAGCAGTCACATGTCATAGAAACGTCACATGCTGTGAATCATGATGCAAATTACAGATCAGGTAAAGTAATACTCTTAGCTATCTATCCTATTCTTATAGCTTTATTAATCAAGCAAACAGTTTAGACATGGCCTCACCAATGGGCTTTCTATTAAAGAAAAGTTTTAGTAATATCTGCATGTTCTATTCTCGCGCTGCGTAACTTAATCAAAAGTTTGGCAACAGTAAGAAACATATCACGAAACTAATTGATATATTAAAGTTGCTGAAATAACAGAAAACGCGCAAAAACTACGAAATGCTGTTCTGCAAAAGATTATAATAGTAAAACACGCGTTATTGGAATGACAGCAGCGCAAAGAAGAAATTGAACCAAAGGCTAAGAGATCGATCAGCATTAATAAAACTGTAAGGTTGGCAAAAGAATGACGGTTAGGCACCTTTAAAGCCTGGTAGGTTGGGGGAAATCATGGACATAAGGCAACCGATCCATACTGGTCATTGTGAATATAGAGCCAATCGAACGGCTTATGAAGAGATCGCAATACATTTGTATATATCATTTGAGGATATTATCTTTGCGGAGAAACAACGTTAATGTACTGAGAATTCACATGCCTTCTTATACAAAAGGTACTATGAAATTTATTTTTAATGTACTATTTCTTACGATAAGAAAAAACAAAACGCTGAATTGATTTTGTTCTACAAATGCTTAAAAGTATTATTTCCTATTCCTTTTGTTTATGCGTCATCTCTCAGTCAGTAACAATTACTTTTCCATTAAGTCGGATCATATATCAAAGAGTAAAAGATGACATATTAAGCCTTTGCAAGGAGCAAGTCTGAAATCTTCCTAATTTGCTAACATACTTCGCTAGGAGGGAGTGTCAGTAGAGACATCATGTGTAGGAGCAGCCTGCCTGCAGTTTATTTCTTATGTTGAAGAGTGGTGTCTCAGTAGCATTAATCGTATTGATATTAGTAGTTGGAGTAGAGGACAAATCGACAAGTCGGAAGTCAGAAGGGAGAATATATGAGAGATCGTTGATTTTTACGAGCATACAGCTATTTGTGACTTCGAGAATTTGTGGCAATACTGATCGAATCGATAAGTGAAAAACATCTCTATTATGATTATGGCCTACGCGTGTCTTGATGTGGAGGTTTGACCGTAAAGGATTCTGGCCGAGTTTACGATTGAAGAGCGATATAATATGAAGCTGCTACTTATCATGTTAAGGATTGATTGTCTTGTGCAACAACTTTACTGTTCACGTGTTCCACTACAAAAACAGCGGTGGTATAATACAGCAATAACGTGAGATTGGGATTATCGAAATCTTACTTCAGAATCATATTGTTAGGTTGTGAGTGGCTCATACAGTATGTCAATTGACCGCTTGATACAATTTTTTGCAGACAATGGATCTGATAAACTCGAATGGATTTCTGACGAGGAAATTACTTGTATAATGTCAACTCCAACAGACACTATCTGTTACGCTGTTCGCAAACGAACATTGGTCGATGGTATAGTTAAGGAAGCGAAGATAATTTTGCTATTACTTGGAAATGATGAAACATGCACACCAACATTCCTTAGTGAGTTTTCCAGAATATACTCATTTCCAACGCACGAGTGCGGTAAAGATGTCAGTCAATTTAGAAGATATTCCGAATGGCTTGCCAGTCGTAATAAGCTGATATGTGGATTCACCAAGACTAATGGAAATTACTATATGGTTGCTGATAGACAGTTTTACCATTGTTATGCTCGATATAGATTTTGCTCTATGTGTGGTATACTTCGATGTAGTCCTGTGTGGTGTATCTGTGGTCATCAAGAATTATCCAATGGATGGTCCAGCAACAATGAGCAACTCGATAACTTTATTAAGAAATCCCAATTACAAACAAGCTCAGCAAATGATGCCTATTTGGAGTGGATTCCATACGATTGTATTATCGATAGGGGATATGGATATGTATACTTGTATGGTCTACCTACTTGTACATATGTTAAGTTGACTCCACTCAAGATAACTGGTGAAACAGATTATTCGTGCTATGATAAGGTAACTATTCACTTATTGATATGCGTCATGTTTGTTGAACAGTTTAAATAATTACAACTTATTATTATTTATCATTACTAGTTATGTGATGAGCATTCAGATATTCGTAGTATGGATGTTTGGGTTACCATCGGATTTACATATGATGCAAGCGAACAGGAGTATTGTCTAATAAAAGAAATGCATGGAGATGGATTATGTCTGGCATGTACAAAAAAGATCAAACCTTCCATAAATGAATTCTGTTTCGAATGTAAAGCACCGAGACCACTCGACTGGACTACTGGTAACGAGTCTTTGGATTCATTTATTAAGGAATCATGGAGCAACACAACAAAAACATATGATGTCTATTTACGATGGTTAGAGTATTCTCTGATAAACGTACAAGAGATGACATTATTACACCGCGACTGGTTAGAACCGAAACGGACGCCGACTAGAGTGATGCTCAAACAGATAGTTGACCGACCGAACGCTCAGCAGTCTGATTTTTATCAGGTAAATTATTTTATGCATTAATATCTTTAGTTTGCGCACGTATGTCCATTAAATGTTGTAACGTCTCGGTTGTATTTGTTTACTCGAATAGCTAACTGAGGAATACCCAGAGATATTAACACCAAATAATATTTGGATTGTTGGTATCACGCAAGAACTGTCTACTCGAAAATATTACTTAGTGCTCTACCGCGATCTACACGCACTACTGGACAGGTTTATACAGGTTAATGATCACGTAAAATATATGCAGTATACAGACTTTGATGAAATTAAGGAAATTGGGTCTGGTGGTTATGGAATAGTCAACACGGCCAGATATAAGAACTGTTCAACGAAAGAACAGATACCAGAAACTGTTGTACTAAAACGTTTGAAGAATCCTAATGAAATGGAAACGTCAAAATTATTTATTTCTGAAGTAAGTAAACTTTGAAATCAATCAATTAAAGTGATATTGATCTGACTAAATTATTTTTATTTAACAGTTCAGCAACCATGTCAAGTGTTCGCGTTATAATCATTTTCTTCAACTTTATGGAGTCACGCGAGATCCAGAAACAGAGGAATATTTAATAGTAATTCAATATGCTAACAAGGGTAACCTTTTGTCTTATTTGGGTCAAAATGTTAACAAATTGACGTGGAAGATGAAATTGAGATTTTTGGTGAATATTGCACATGATCTGCATGTTATCCATAACGCAGGATTAGTGCATTGTGATCTTCATGGGGGAAACATAGTTTTTCATGATAACAGTGAAAAAGATTTTCGATCAATCCATCCATTCATATGTGATCTTGGCCTTTCTCAGTCGGTGAAGTCACATGAATCAAATTCAAACATTCGAGGCGTTTTGCCATTTATTGCACCGGAAGTCTTCGATACTCGCAAATTTAGTCGAAAATCAGACATATATGCACTTGGCATTATTATGCATTTGATGGCCACTGGTGAACCACCGTTTAGAAACAGGGAATTTGATAAGGGTTTAGTATGCGATATTATGGGTGGACTACGACCATCGATGCCTGATTCAGCACCAGACGAATACAAAAAGCTTGCTGAGATGTGTTGTGACGTTGATCCTGACAAACGTCCAGAAGCGTTGGATATTTTTAAGTTAATTGATAATTGGAATTATGACAATGTCATATGGGAAACTATCTATCATAATAATGTAGAACCTTTATCCCGTCTCGAAAAGGAGAGCAAATATTCTAGCAAGCTTCTGCCTGTTGGTTCTGTTGCAAGTACGATTAAAATTTACATTTAATAATTTAAATTACAATATTAACATCAGCTCTATTATCATACAATTTAGCAACTCAAACTTTGTGAATAAACTTGCAATTATGTTTATTTGTGGTTTACATGAATTGAGCATGGATTAGACACGCACGCTATATGGATAGATTTAATAAAATCCAAAAAAGTTTAATTTGCAGATAAAAATTGATACACGAATAACAGATTTTAACACATTTACTAGGCATGCAAAGGTATAGTAAATAAGTTTGGAAATTCTATATATTGATGGTCATTATTATTATTGTATGGTTATAATGTCAAGATGGTAGTTGTAGATACTGTTGATATTAATAGTAAAGAAACTGGTCATTATTATGAAGGATAGAGAAAATAATAAATAATGAAACAGACTAGAGGAGATAATAGTAATAGTAGAGGTATAAGAAGTTTTGAATAGTCTAGATAACAAATAATTGCAAATTTACCATTCGTTTGAAGAAAGGGGAGTGTTGGCAAATTAACAAATACTAGTTAATTATGTATAGTCATGTGATTAGAATTATGCTATACAAATATCAAAAAAAAAATTTAATTGCAAATTTTGTCTTTTAAGATGACATTTAGCGTATGTATAATTTTACATGTCTTTGGACATTATGGAATCAATGAGAAAGTGTATTGCACTCTCTTAATCGAATAAAATGCATGTGAATATTAATATGAGAGATTTCAAGTCATGTGATTCAACTTTGAGAATTACAAAAGTCTTCAAATACTATTAAAGAGCTTGCTTGTAAATAATAGTTTGCGTATTTATAATATTATTATTGGCACAATATCGCTTAAATGTACGCCACAAACATGTAAACATGTAACGTGACTTGGGTTGCGTAAATTAATGCATTAGTTATATTTACGCATATACCTAATTAAAGGCTCAAAAATAGAATATCTCTTACAGCAACAATGTCTATAGAATTGAATAAAGAATAGTTAAAAATGCTATTAGAAATATTAGTCGTATGGCGAAGCAAGCACAATCAGTAGTACGAGCAATCTTTGATGACATCCAGCAACGCAACGTTATTATTATAACCGTAATCCGCTATTAATTTGTCAATGCTGGTTAACAGTTGCAGAAACCGTTAATATGCTTAACTGATAATTTTACGATACTTGTTTTTTTATCCTGCAAAGCTCAATTTTTATTCCCTACCAGGTCTTTAAATTCAGGTAAACATTTACACAATCTAAACGTGACACGAGAGGATTGGACAATTGACCAGTATCCTGGGTAGAACTACGGGGTGCTTTCAAAGTTTATTCTTTCAGATTTGAATGTGTAAAATTTTATTGTCTAGCTCTATATTGACGTTTTAAGAGATTTATTAACATTAATATTAAACATGTACATGTTACATAAACAGTGGTAATATTATTAGAGAAATATTATAATGGGTAACAAAATTTTTTGTCCTCGCAAACAATAAAATTAGTAACGTGTTACAGTTGTGCAGCGATCTTCCGTAACATAACATTGGGATGGCTAGACTTACCTTTACAACGTAGATAATTTCGAAATGTTAAAATATTTATCAGTTAGCAAACTTTACAAATTTGAGCAATATCGATATTATCGATCAGTTACTTTATGGCACAATTAGATAATGTGAATGGTTTGCGTTCAGTGACTGCATCTCTCACGGTTCTAAACAAGAGGCTGTAATCCTCGTATGCTGTCGATGCATTGTAATCAATTAGGTAATATTATCTCAAAGTATTTTCCGAGAGTAAATAGATAAAAAAATACACAGGCAAACTTGACGAGTCAGTCACGGATGTCTGGCCATGGTAGACCAATTGCCGCTTATCGAAACCCATTTAATTAATCTGGTGTATAAATAAATAAATAAACGATACTAAAAATAGATATAAAATAAACAGTCAAATTAATATTCAAAATAAAATTTATGCTTCTATTTTAAGTCTTTAATTTGAACAAATTAATTTCCTTCTCTGTAGTCATTCAGCTGCATATAATTGTGACACAACATCCATAAAACCTTATTTTATCATCGTCGTCACCTCATTTTCAGTTTATCACCATTACTTATCGCTTGTTTCTAAAACATTATTAAATTCAATATAGTCTTTTGCTCTCGCAAACACTGTCATCAATGACCGTTAATCAATAGCCGATTGATTAATTTCGTTTTCATGGCCTGGAAATTATTATGAATATCGCTGTTTGCAATACAAACACAATTTATTCTGAGGGCTAAAATAGCAATTGATATTACGTGAGACAACTAGCTAACCTTTGCTCAGACTCGGCCAAATTTGGGATAGGGCAAATCAAATGTTATTTTGCGATCTTGACATACCTAGTTGGTACACTTGCGCGGCAAGTTTTATTTGCGTTGTTAAACTTGCTTAGTTAGGGGCTACATTATTATTAAAAGAATGGCGATAGATCTTCGACGGATTGATGCCAGTGAAATGAATCAAGATTTTGGTTCTTACAAAGAGCCAGACATTTTAAGAGATTTCAAGAAGGCTTGGGACTTTTCTCTACAGGATTCTTGCATTATAGTCACAAAGCAGCTATTGGGTTTTAAATACTATTATCCAATGTCAAATGAAAGCAATCACGATGAAGAGTTGAGCAAGATAATTTTGCAACTGCATGGATCGTTTTGGGAGAGGTATAAAACAACGTTTGGAAACGCGGAACCAACTGAAATTGACAATAAAGCTTAAAACTGACTGGAACGTAGTTGCACATTTTTATTCAGTATCATAAATTTTAAAATAATATTATATACTCGTATAGTCTACCCTGGCAAAATCGATAACAGCAACACAAAAGAACGCTACCATCCAGTTCTAACAATTCACGAAAAAAATAAATTATATTGCGATGCTCTCGATTTTTCTTTTATTGGGACAAGATTTGGTGACAATAATATGATTAGCAACCCTTGGTCAGCAACCGTCAGAACTGAGAGCGTAAAATCACCGACCAGCCAAAGCCTTAGCCGCTCATACAGAAGCCTTCTCCTACCATGACAAAAAGTAGCCAAAAAACGACAATACACGAAGCATTGTCGACAAAGTTATCATTAACAATGATGATGACAACAACCAAAATTCTCCCAGCCCAAAAAAACGTCGAAAAAAATAGTTTGTTGTATTCTTTATTTATATTTATTTTTTTTTAAAAATTGTTTAAAAAGTGAAATACATATATTTGAACAATAGTATCAATGTCAAAATATTAATTAATAGATTTTTAAACTCAAAACAAATCTGCCGCCGTCTGTACGTACCCAACAAGGATCTCGGGTAATGTATTTAAACAACTCTCTAATAGAAAAAGGTATTTGTAATGGCACTATTGGAATCATTACTGATTTCGATAAAGATACATTGTCTGTTCAAGTAGCATTTCGCGTACAAAATGCAATAGTCCATCATTGGGTACCAAAACATACTTCCTACTTTATCAAGACAGAAAGCATCGCGTACTCAGTTTGCTTTTAACAATACGTAAGACTCAAGGTCTCACACTACAAACACCACTATATCTTTGATTTTGTGTGTTCTTTATTAAGTACAGCTAAGGTGAACCTCTAAAGCTGCTTTACCACTATATCTTTGAGTGACATATTTCTCTAAGCCAGGCATATGTTTGCTATTAGTAGGTGCCTCTTGGAACGCTTTTACAACAGAGTCTAAATGTAATTAGTGAGTATGAAAAACTTAGTAATGTAAGCAACAAACTAGTAAAAAAAATGTTGTCAAAATTAGAAAAAAAATTTTGGGGTTATAAAAAACAATTAATTAACTATTTTTGATTAACTACTAATATAAACTTGACTACCATATAACAATAATAACTAAATACTGTGTCAAACGTAATATGATTATCATTGTCATCCCCCGGTCGAAGCAGTCGACCGGGGTCAACATGCTACACTAGTTGTAAATAGAAAAATATAATTATTTTTGTGGTTTTGGACCGAACACAGGGTATTTGTAACAGATTCTTTAAAGAGAAAATTTTCAGACAGTTTATCGCGGCCTATATTACGTATACAACAAATTTGAGCGGGAAATTTATTTAATTTAGAGTTATATTGTATATGTATGGTTGCATAAAAAATAGAAATGGCTATTTCACTCCCTATTTCATGTAATTTCTTATTTGCTATGCATTATAATAAAGCGAAATACACCTGCGACTGGTAAAACTTGTCTAACCTAATCGTCATTAATAAAAGATACCCTGCACGCTTATTCATTACACAAGATTGATAATTACAGTATGTTTACTAAATAGACAATATTGAAGATAAAAATGGTTCACATCTTTTGTCTGTCACAAAACATATCATCACTTCTATCTCAATCTTTCAGGGCTAATAAAAATGTTAAAGCATTTCAAACAAAAAAAAAAAAAGGAATTATTCAGACAAATTGAATACGATTTAGTATGTTCAATCGCATACAGAGTTTTCGTAACATGAATTGTCGAATATTGTTCATCCGTGCTGTTTTTATCATGACTAGTCATTTCGACATGACATCAAATGCATAAAGACATATAAATAAGTAAACCAAATCGAATACTATATTTGGTTAACCGAGCAAGCGGTTTCAGAGTTAAATCGGTTTGTTTGTATAAGTATAGAGTTATATAATAATAATAAATATTCTATACAACGATACAATTATGGTTTGGTTAAGGGCAACGAAATTCCATAATGAAAGAAGAGCAGAATAACACAAGAATTACGTATAAGCGTGCATATAAAAAGTGTGAGCTAGCGTGTTTCTATCAAATTTACTGACCCAGTCCATTTCGGAATTAAGTTGTCGTTTTGGTTAGTTATCATGCATCGAAGCCGCACGATAAAATACTATGAGAAACTTTTCGTATCCCCAGTTGTACAAATTATCGCGCGCGCAACACCTTTACAAAACGCTCTCTTGTATCTTCAACTTGATGCTGCAGATTGTTCTGTCATTATTTGTATTTCAATATGTAATTAAGAATAGTTTTGCTTAGTATGCTGGATCGTACTCTCTTTTTTAATGCGCAGTTAAAGTATTTGACAACTAAACTATCGATTCACTTTGGTAGATAAAGAAATGCTCAACACCAACGGATATGCAGTTTTGATTGTAGCGTTTGATACTCATAACTTATACATAACTGTCGGCAAAAGTAAATTTATATAATGAGACATTTATCATGTAGTTAATAAAGACGTTAAAGAAAACTCTGTACGCGGACGATACAACAACATATTTTTTAGGCAACAACACAAGATACACATACAATAGTTCTGTAGTTAGCAATATACTGTAAATTAATATCAAAATTGTTAATTTTTCTCCTTCCTTTCAACGATAAACTTATTTTCAAGCAAAATTATCTGCTAATGGTAACATTTACTTAATGTACGTCATATAACTATGAACATTATATGTTTAGTGTCAATTTTTTCAACCATCAGTACGTATGACAAACGCTTTGCAACTAATGTTACAAACTAACTTTATTGGAGAGAAGCCAGTCACTTGTACTAATTCCCAAACTACATGAACATCACTTTTAAAGCGCAATCATAACTGTGGGACTCTAAATAAGCTACGTTGATTGTGTTTTTTGGGAACGCAGACCTTCTTTTTACATTTTCCGCTGGAGCAGTCATCGTTAGCTCCACAAGTTTCTCCGTTGTCGCATTCTTCAGCTCCGATTCCTAGATCGCATTTGCAGATTCCATTAACACACGTCCCTGTGACGCACGTACCTTGGGGATCACATGGTGTCGGGGAAAATTGTCTTGTGTTTAAGCCATTTTTATAATAATCTCTCGGTCGTGCTTGCACAGCTGTTTATCAAACAGAGAAACGTAAATTTAACGCACGCTTTTCGATGCGACGTAAAAGTAGTGCCAATGTAAAGTTTAAAAGACAACAATACCATTGTCGCTGAGCAGCAAAGCAATAACCACCACAATACAGACAATAAGTGACAGACCAAGACGATTCTTCATGGCGTTGGGTTTTTTTGCAAAAAAGTAAAGAGTGTTGGTTTAACTGGTGGTTTGCTATATAGAAGGAAGCACAGCTATCCTTGTAAACGCTTATGGGTTGTTCTGGCTTGGAGCGCTTGTGTGTGTATTTATATGTGTATATGTGTTCAAACTCTGTACGGAGAAGTGTAATGAAATGAATGATTACCTGTAATTAAATTCAAGTATTAAACTTATTCTGCTGATCGGAAGAAAAGCCTAATTGCGGTAACTTATTGAATGCACGATCTCCGCAATATTAACTTTAGAATGTTCCGATACCTTGTGATTTATACCTAATCAGAGCACTATTGCAATCTTGATTGTTCCCTCATTTGTACTTGATGTTTCAGTTTGTCAACTCCTGCTTCATAATAGAACCATCTAATTAGATTGAGCTGATCGGCGGGCTCTTCCCCTTGTACCAACATTTCGTTGATCAACAGCCTTTGCGCAACATTGTACTACATATTTTTGCGGGTAAAGTAATTATGCGAGAATAATCGTCAGTCTCCAATGAGTCAACAATACAGTATGTTGCATGTCAACATTATTATTTCATTTGGCAAATTAATAAATTTTCTTTATATTAGTTAGTGTAATCATAGGATAATGGAACCCCAAGGTCAGGATTTACTTGTTGGTCGGTGACAAAACAGTTTGTGTATCGAAAGCGGGCGGGGATGGATTATTTGCATAAATTAAAGATTGCAATATCTTTAAACAATAAAAAGTAAGTATGTACTATCGCAATTGTAAAAAGTTGAGATGTAGAGCATATTAATAGTGTTGCAATGATGTAAAGAAGACGTAATCGAGCTTATTAATTAGTGCTCTTGTTGCAAATGAAATAACGAAAAAAATTACTTAGAGCTTGCGTATAAAACTACACCTTGTCTCACATTTTGTATTGATAATAAGTTAAATATTAAAATCCAGAGATTAAGGCAAAATTTTGTACTATTGCGTTTTTGATTTTATTATGTGTTGCTGCCATGACAACGATTTTTATAACAACTTGTCGTGATTCAACTAAGATTATAATTATATTTGTTGACGCTATTTCTACAATTACTGGCAGTCATACAAAAATTAATTTATTTAAACAATCAGGCTCTCAGAATGGTAATAGAATACTTAGATAAAGAATAGTCCTTGAACAAGTAATTTTGTATAAAGAGGATAATGAAGATAGTCATTTATCTCTCAAATTTACGTTTATGTACATGTACATTAATTAAGTAGCATAAATTCTCATTCGTTATTATTACATTAATTCTTTGAAATTTAGATTCAGAAGGGTAACACACTATTTGGAAACTATCTGCAGAAATAACCCAAATGAGCTAACTAAATTCAAAATAAGTAATTTTTTCGCAAATATTTAGCTAATCTCTAGCGACATATGTTGAACTTGTCGAGTTACAGCGTTGAGAACTTAAACAGATGTAAGTAACGTTTTTGATTATTACACCACCGCTACTCTTACAACATCTCATATAGTAATTGAATGATAGAAATTATTCGAAGTCATCATTTATTTTAATCAATACGTCAATGAATTAACTTAATTGGGTACGTGTGGATAACATTTAACGAGGTCAGGTTGTATACGGAAATACTCGTTTAAGCATCGGACAATCAACCCACTCAATTGAGAGTGTTTATAATTATTACTTTTGCTCAACTACTTTTAATAAGATTAGCTATTTTCTGTAATGACATTATTATTCGACGCCAAGCAGAAAGTCTTACTTGACTAAGTAAAGTAAGATTATGTTTTCTTATACCTTGAAAAACGTAGTAATGCGGAATATTTGTCTAGACGTGTATGTTATCGTTGCAAATAATAAATATAATAACTACAGTAATATAGTTACAATTTATATAAAATGTTTTGTCTATTATTATTGATGGCCTTGGACTTTTTAGCCTGTTGTTGATAAAGTTGCAATAGCTGCACAACGGGGACTTTTTTCAGATGCTGACACTGACCAGGATGTCTTTGAATTACGCGGATACACTTTACTTGATATGTGTAAATTTGAAATTTTTACAGTGACCTAGTTACGCCCCTTTTGTTATACTTTTTTATTAAAAAAAATAATAATACAGTTTGCTGATAAAAAAATGTTATCGAACAATATTGTACGTTAAAAAAAAAACGAAAACACGTTGCGACTTTACGGCGTGGTATTGTATTGTATCTTGTGATAATCTACTGTCATAACCAATATGTTGAACGTGAGAGAAATATTTTGAATATAATAATAAATACTCACTGCATAAACTTAGTAAAAAAGGACGCATTTTTGAAATTTGTCCAATGCATTGATGTCTTCTTCATGTTTACTATATTCTTTAAAGTCTACTTAATTACGTCTAATACACGATACAAACTATGTTAACATGTGCATCATAGATGGGGCGTGAGAATTTTATCTCGAGCAATATAGTAATTATAATCAATGAATGCCTTTGGTAAATATTGTGAACAACTTGTTATACTGTAATTCAATTTTTAAGTATAGTGTAATGCCCGCAACTTGGTGTTACATAACGCTGCTTTGTTAAAGAATTACAGCAGACTGGAGACGACAGGGAAAGAATAGCAATAAGAAAATTCAATCAATAATAAATTGTGGACCAACACTACCTCGCGCTGATTATGTTATGTTACAAAGTAGTATACGACTTTTCAACAATACTGCATACGGTTTTATCATTGTAACAAAATGAGTAGTATCGTTAAGCTATCCTCCCTTCTTTCAGTAAACAGTGTAGTAAATTATGAGAAACTGTATAATAATAAAAATAGCAAATACTTCTATTCATGTCCCAAATAGTAAAAATGTTCTCGTTCCGTACGCTGGTTATGTAATAAGCGCATTTTATGAGAAAAGTTTAACCGATAGTTTTGAAGATACAACTTCATAGCATATTCGAAATATTGCTCAGGTAAAGTCAGCTTTATACGAGAAAATATATGCTAATTTGAACAAAGGATTCTATCAATACTTCATCAGACATATGAAAGTTTTCGGTTTCAAATCTTTAATTAAACTTTCTAGTCATATTTGTGAGTTTAAGTTGATGTGATTATTATTCATATGAGAATTAAATTATGTCAAATAAGTTCAACCCTTTAAAACGTAAATGCTTCCAATGTAATGTCCTCTTTGTTTAAATAAGCTTGTACCGCCGCTTCACTTAACCGCACGTGTGTAGAATAGTTAGTCACAATTCCACCAATAAAACTGACAATTCAATAATTCCGATGGTTAAATTTTGTACTATTTATAAAGAATAATTAGGAAATTAAAAACACGGAATTCTCCCATTATTAATAATATAATATATCATATGATAACTTTATTTTGTAAATTAAACAACCTTATTAGAATCGCATACCCAAATTGACAGCACTTAACAATGATAACAAGAGATGTGCAGCAAATCAATGATCAAATAACATGTGTATAATAAAGATTTACACTTGACAACACAAAACAAAATTGACAAGTTTGACTTAGCGTTTAGAAACTAAAAATACCTCCCAATTCGCCCATTTAAAGGATCTTCTGACTGTCTTATTGGAACCTCGTATGTTTGTTTCTTAGCACAAGGTTCAATGTTGAAGCCACCACCAAAAGATAAATCACCTGAAATCAGGGAAAAAATCAGCACTATCCCAAATGGCATTTGAACCATCATTACCAACTAGTGGTGAAACTATGTAAATGGCTAGTTTCTTTAATAAAGCTATAAAACATTGCATGCTAAATAATATGATTGTGATACAACGATAGAGTCATATGTTCACATCTTCGCATCCATTAGTTTAGATACAAATAAATTTTTCTTTTTTCAAAAATTGTTTGAATTGAAATAGAAATAGTGATT